ACGGGTCCCAGCACCTGCCGATCCCGGGCCCTGTGGAGGAGATGCTGGGTGACCTCAACAGCACTATCACTGACATCATCTCTGCCCTGGTGACCAGGTAATGCGGGGAGGGGGGAGGGGCAGAGCCAGGTTGGTCCCTGACAGGCTCCTGGCCAGTCTCTCCCCACAGGGGCTGGGCAGGGAAGGCAGGGGGCACAGGCCAGGTCAGGACACAGTTGGGACTCATCATTCGGGCTCTGGGAACCCCCATCAGGCAGGATGTGGTCAGTGAGGAGCACCAGGCTGAGGAGTAGGGTGGGATTTGAGGGGAGTCTCAGTGAGTAGTGGTATTGGGGGCTTAGACGGGCCTGGGCAGCAGGTTTCTAGGAGGCTAGGAAAGGGGATTAGGGGCTGCAGACCCCACAGTGGGGGCTAGGTGAAGGCCTCCCCCTGCCATGGGTGAGCCCTGCCCTGGCACCGTGGCAGTGACGCCAGTGTCTTCCCCCAGCACCTTCATCATCGAGAAGCAGCCCCCCCAGGTGCTGAAGACACAGACCAAGTTTGCGGCCACGGTGCGGCTTCTGGTTGGGGGGAAGCTGAACGTGCACATGAACCCGCCCCAGGTTAAGGCCACCATCATCAGTGAGCAGCAAGCCAAAGCCCTGCTGAAGAATGAGAGCACCCGCAAGTAATGGCCCTCCCACGCACCCTGGGGGGGGCAGTGCCTGGGGGACACCAAGCAGGGGGCACTCTGCCTGCTGGCAAAGCCCCCTGGAGGTTGGGGATAGGAGAACTCTGGGGTGGGGAGCTGGGAAGAGCCTTTGTCGGGGGTTCCTTGCTTACAAGGCAGGCTGCCCCTCTTGAGAGCCCAGCACAGAGCATAAATGCCCTCACCCCTCTGGCCCCAGCACTGGGCATGCGTAAGGAATTGCCGAGCAGAGGGTGGGGCCATGTGAGTGTGCTCCTTCCTATACCACTGAGGATGGAGCCTGCCCCTTCCTCACTGCCCTGGCTGGGGGCCCATCTACAGGAGACCCCAGCTGGCACTCAGGGCCTGGCCCTGCCAGCAGGTGACACTGCACAGGACTGAGCCATTGCTCATTCTCTGTTCCTGTAGCTGGACTCCAGCCCCACAAGCTGGTTCTCTGTTCTTAGGGAGAGCTGAGCCACCCTCTCCCCTGCAGATTGGCTGTGGGAGTTGTGCTGGCTCCCTGCCTCCGGGTGGGCTGTGGTGGTAGCCAGCACCACCCCCTGAGCTGGTGCTTTCCCATTGCAGTGAGAGTAGCGGGGAGATCCTGAACAACTGTTGTGTGATGGAGTACCACCAGGCCACGGGCACACTGAGTGCACACTTCAGGAACATGGTGAGAGCCGGGCCCAGGGCACTGCCCCTGCCTCTGCTCCCCTTCTTATCCCACCCGCCTTTCATGCTCTTCCCTGCCTCCTCCAGTCCCTGAAGCGCATTAAGCGCTCAGACCGGCGTGGCGCTGAGTCGGTGACCGAGGAGAAGTTCACCATCCTCTTCGAGTCTCAGTTCAGTGTTGGTGGCAATGAACTGGTGTTCCAGGTCAAGGTAAAGCTGGCCCTGCACTGGTGGTGCCCCTGCTGCAGGGCCTGGCCTGGCAGAGAAGGCCTGGAGCCCTTTGGGGCAGGTGTTGGGGGACTGGGAGCCCTTTAGGGATCTGCACTGGGGTGGAGAACACTGGCTCTATAGCTGCTCACCATGCTCTGGCTGCAGCATGTCACTCATAGGGAGGAGGGCAGTCAAAGAGCAGAGGGGGTGATGTGGGCTGGGCTGGTTCCTGGAGATGGTGCTGGGGAGGGAGGTGACAGCTTCCAGTCACCAACCAGTGTGGCCACATTGGGGCCAGAAGCCTGTGGAGCCTGCAGCTTCCCTGTGGGGGGTGGGTGTTGGGTCCAGTTCAGAACATCCCAGCACAACACGGGGGGGAAGAGCTGCTGGCAGAGCACAGCTCAGTCCCACCCTGGCATCAGCTGAGTAGTCAAGGGGGTGGTGCTCCCTGGGGCTTCCTTGTTCCTGAGTTCTGGGAGGAGCCAGGGGCCCTGGTTCCTCCTGCAGCCCCAGGATATGCCTCTGCAGTGCCCAGCGCCCCCTTCCCATCTCCCCCCTGATCTGCATCCCTGCTGCTCCCACAGACGCTGTCTCTGCCTGTGGTGGTGATCGTGCATGGGAGCCAGGACAACAACGCCACAGCCACTGTGCTCTGGGATAACGCCTTCGCGGAGCCTGTGAGTAGGCAGTGCCCGCAGCATCAGAGGAGGGGTCAGATTTCCAAACCCTGCATAGGAGGGGTAGCTATCCTGTGCCCCTCCTCCCATATGACATGTGGGCCCTGGGTGTTCTGGACTGACCCTGGCCTCCCAAGCTAGCAGGGCTGATGGTCTGCTCCAGCCCGGTACTTCTCAAGCCCTGGTCTGACCCGTCCTGACTCTCACCCGTTCTGTACTGCATTGCTGCATCCCAGTCATGGACATGGCCCTGCCCTGGCCAGCAGCAGTGGGAGGGTAGGAGTATTGGGGGTAGGTCAGGATGATGGCTACAGAGCCCCTGGTGCCTGATGCCCATCCAGGAGGTGCCTGATGCAACCTGACTCCCAGTGGCACCATCTCTCTGCAGGGCCGGGTGCCGTTCGCTGTGCCCGACAAGGTGCTGTGGCCCCAGTTGTGTGAGGCACTTAACATGAAGTTCAAGGCTGAAGTTCAGAGCAACCGGGGGCTGACGAAGGAGAACCTAGTGTTCCTGGCCCAGAAGCTCTTCAACAGCACCAGCAACCACCTGGAGGACTACAATAGCATGACTGTGTCCTGGTCCCAGTTCAACAGGGTAAGCTGTGCTGGTTAGGACCTTGATGTGCCAGAAGGCGCCCAGTACTGGGCATGCAGGGTCTCGCCTTGATCTGAGCAAGGAGTGCTAATAGCCACACACATGTGCTGGATGGGGCACTGCAGTAATCAAGTGTCATCTCTTTTCAGCAGAGGTGAAATGTCCCTTTCCTTTTAAGGGAGCTGGAGCAGGGGACACCTGGCATGAAATGCTCCAGGATTCCTGTTTATTGCCCTTACAGTGGGCATTGCAGTCAGAAATCCCCATGGCAGCAGAGGCAGTTGCTTCTTACCACAATCCAGTGTGCAGCTGTTTGTAAAGATGCACAAAGTGAATGGTTGTGTGAGCCTCCCTTTCACCTGTAACCAAGGCTTACCTGCCCCTAGCAGGTCCATGCTGATGCAGGTGAGGATGTGAGCTGGCTGTCCTTATCTAGAGTGCCCTGCCGGTTCAGGAGTTTCCTGGTGGGCTTTGTCTCACTGTGGCTGAAGCTGGAATGGTGCGAAATGCAGCTGCCACTAAACAGGGAATCGGCTGGAGAGAGAAATGCTCATCTGTCTTGCTGGGGGGTTTTTATGAGATATTTTCTTTCAATTAAAACAGGAAAACCTGCCTGGACGGAATTACACCTTCTGGCAGTGGTTTGATGGGGTTATGGAGGTGCTGAAGAAGCATTTGAAGCCCCATTGGAACGATGGGTGAGCATTCTGCTTTCCAAGGTGGCTGGTACAGCCTGGCAGAGCCCATTTCCGAGGCACACTGCAGGCCCCAGCCCCTTACTGGTTCCCCTCTCTGCCTCCTAGGGCCATTCTGGGCTTTGTCAATAAGCAGCAAGCGCACGACCTGCTCATCAACAAGCCGGATGGGACCTTCCTGCTGCGATTCAGTGACTCGGAGATCGGCGGCATCACCATTGCTTGGAAGTTTGACTCCCATGAGTTTGCTCTCTGGAGGTCGTGGAGCCAGACACGTCCCTGATGTAACTCCCGCCTCCAAGGTTGGAGAGGGGAGAGCTCCTGCCTGGATACAGAGCAAACCCTCTCACTGGGCTGGCTGAGCCTGCCCTGCTCTATTCCTGTGCATCAGCGCTGACTCTCCCGGGTTTGATCAGAGCAGAGCAAGCCCCCTTGTGGACATCAGGGCTTTGTACTGCCTACAGCTTTTCCTGTCTCTGTAAGGAGACACGTTGCTTAGGCCAGTATCACACCCAACGTGAAGCGGGTAAGGCTGTTCTGTCCGAACCAGGCTCCCTTTCTGCCATGCCCTGTACCCAGGATGCCTGTATATGAGCTCAAAATGAGCAGCATGTCTGCTTTTCTTTGTAGTCTAATATGGGTTGCTTGAATTGCAGCATTCTTCACCTTTACAGTGATTCTTTCCTCATGTCTTAACCCCAGGGTGGTTCATTGGGTATGCATTGGCCAATGCAATTTCTATGCCAGTAAGTCTCTTATGTGGTATTTTGTTCATGAGAACTGGGCTTCAAGCAGGTTTAAATTAACAGAAAAATGTACTTCTCTATGATTTTGGGTAGGGCTGATCCTGACTCAGGCAGGGGGTTGGACTAGATGACCTCCGAGGTCCCCCCCGCCCAGTCCTATTTCCCCATGATTCAAAGCAGTCTCTTTTTAGCATCACTAGTGCCGCTCCACAGTAAACCTGAAAGAACTTCAAGACGACTCCTCGTTCAGGAAGGACAAGGGCAGGCTGATCTCAGTTTCCTTTTTCATTAGTGCTGATGGTGCTGGCCTGTGACGGGGTGCATGTTGCAAGGGGAGGTTTAAAGTCAAAGAGAGAGAAGCTCTTTTCATTAAGCTGATACTCAGGAAGACATCCTTGAGACAGATATTCACAGCAGTTTCGAACTTGCCTCAGCACCAGCAGAGTGGCCAGCTCTTGCGATCTTTGTCCTGAGAGCCTGCCTTGTTTGGTGCTGTTTTTAAAGCCCCAGCTCCTGGAGTCAGTTGATGGCATAGGGGCCTCAGCATATGGTTACACAAGCCAGGAAGCTGGTAGCTCTTGGGGGAGTGGGGAAAAGCCTGCTGATGGGACTCAGGTGCCACGTAGAAGCTGAGAGAGCTGGGTGTGAAGGAGGACTGCCTCTTAATTGCCCTGTAGGAGTCTCTGAATTTTTAAGCCAGTCTCTCGAACCTGCCTCGCGTGGTTTGAGCACAGGAGACGAGTGAGAGCATCCTGAGCCCTTCAGATGCCCCGTGGCACAGAGGAAACTTGGGAGTTCTGGTTTTCACTGTCCTGTTTCCCTCCCATTGCATTTCCAGCTGAAAGGATGTTTTGGAACCTGATGCCCTTCACAACCAGAGACTTCTCCATCCGCTCACTGGCTGACCGCCTGGGTGACCTCAGTTACCTCATCTACGTGTTCCCTGACCGGCCCAAGGACGAGGTCTTCTCCAAGTACTACACGCCGGTTCCCTGTGAGTCCACGCCAGGTAGCTCTGTCCCCCGTGGTTCAGTTTGCTTCCCTCACATTCTTTGGGTATGCCGGCTTGTGTGTGAGACTCGAGGAAGCTATGTTGCTTTGCGCCTGCGGGGGTTGGGTTCATTCTTGCTCTCCTGTTTTTCTCAGTGGCTTCCTGCTGTGTGGCATGGAAATGCCCCAGACTAACAGCCCTGGTAGGCACAAGGTGATGGTTATGGTAGGCACAGATTGCTGCTGCTGCTAGCCTGGGGATGCCACCACTCCCAGCTTGTGTTTGCAACGTGCTCTGGTATCTCCATGCCTCAGTGTTGCCTCCTCTCTCTCTCCCTTCACCTGTAGCTAAAGCTGTGGATGGATACGTGAAGCCACAGATCAAACAAGTGGTGCCAGAGTGAGTACATCTATCGGTGTCCCACAAGGCCCTTAGCAGATTTTCTTCTCCTGCCCCTTCCCTGATTTCTCCATGCTAAGCAAGTGCACTGATGTGCAGGCCTCAAGTCCGGTTCCCAGCCTCTAGCGTAGCTGGGGATTGAATGTTGCAGACCCAGCAGGGCTGTCCAAGAAGTGGGGTGCCCTGGGGGCTTAAGCTGGGGAGAACAGCCACCGAGGCAGCCAGCACTCCAGGTCTGCAGAGGCAGTGAGCAGCCCTACATGGTCAACCACACTACAGGAAGAGGTGATTCATGAAACACCCGCTGTATCTGGGTGGAGTCCGGCTTGGGCAGCAGAAATGAGAGGGCCCTACCGGGATGATTAAAACCGGGCCCAGTAACTATCTGGCCCTGTGGGGTGGGGTGAGTGAGTGAGCCGAATACTGGGTGGGCAGATGTGAACAGAATAAGCTCAAGGACAATACAGGTGCTGCTTGTGCCACCTCCTGCTGCAATTTCTGTCAGTTTGTGGTTGGAGGGGATAAAACCTCGTGACTTTGGCTATGTGCTCAGAACCTTGTTCCCAGGACAAACAGCACAGTTGTGACACAGGAACAGGACTCCAGTGGGTGTCCTTCCTAGACAGAGCCTGCCTGATAAACAACCCTGACAGCAGCACTGAGGTGGCAAAAAGGAGCCAGAACCAAAGCTGGCAAGACAGGAGCTGCTAGTCCAGCCAAGGCAGAGCTGCTGGGTCTGGGGCAGCTCCTGGTCAGGCCTTCCTGCAGTACCAAGTCCCCACATCACCTCTCATTTGTTCCAGGTTTGCCACCGCATCTGGGGACTCAACCCCTGGGTCAGCCACTTACATGGATCAAGCACCATCTCCTGCCGTGGGATCCCAGACCCATTACAACATGTACACACAGAAGTAAGTGCCACCACAGGCCAGCAGGAGGTGTGGGGTCAGGGCCTCCCTATGCCAGTGGGGCCTGGGGTACATAGGACTGGAAGGGGACTCCTGGACTATCGAATCCTGTCCCCATGTTCCCATGCCATAGTTAACCCAAGGTATCCCTACAATCACTACGTCAGACCTTCAGGCTCGGCTACCAAGCACAGTGCCCCAAACAGCCTGTGTATGAAATGGCACAAGTAAAAGTAGGGGAGACGAGGGCACTGCCACTGCTGTGACAGAAGATTTTAGGAACAAGACTATGCCTCGTAGGTACAGAGGAAGGCCTTAAAACACCTGTGGTGTGCTTGTCTGACCCAGGGGAGAAATTCCTCCCCGATTCCGAATTTGGCGATCAAGAGGGTGTTTAGCAGGAGAACGTCACTGCCTGTCTGACCCTGACTCTCGTGGCGTCTTCCTTTCCCAGCCCCGAGGCTGTGCTGGACCCTGAAGGGGACTTTGACCTGGACGACACGATGGACGTAGCAAGGCACGTGGAGGAGCTTCTACGGCGGCCAATGGACCATCAGTGGATCCCTCATGCCCAGTCGTGACCTGGGGACACCTCCCCCCACACCCTGTGACAGCCCCACCTGGCAGCCAGGGCCTTGGGGATGACACGGGGATGGAGCCCTCCTGAGAGCAGCCTTGTGTTCATGTCTGTGTGCCAGAGCCAGTGGTATGTGAGGGGTGGGGTGTCCTTTCCCAAGGGTTTGCTCTGAACCGTCTGCAGTGCCCCAGGGCTGCACGAGGCTCTCTGGTGTTTTATCCCCCTTGTACAAAAGGCAGTGGATTTGTCGCATGGTTTTCCTGTATGTTCCTTTGAGGCCCAGCTTTGGCTTTCTGCTTCTGCAAGCTCCTGCTCTCGTGGCTGTTCCCTAGTGCACCACGCGTGTCCTGGCATCCCACTGGCTCCCTCTGGAGTCTGGATCATTGCCTGTGCCCCAACAAGCCCCTTCAGATTTGGCAAGAGGGCTGAGGAGGGTGGAGCTCCTTATCCCGTTTTCTGTCACTGTTAGGTAGATCCAGATTCACCCTGGATCCCTAGCTGCTCTGTTCTGTGGGGGTGGGGGGGTGTGCAGGGGGTGTGGTGAGCATCAGGGTCCTGGATGGGGATGGGGAGCGTGGCAGTGGGTGAGTGCCTCAGAAGGCTACAGGTGACCTTTCTTGGGCATCTCACCCTGCCAAGGCAAGTCTGTGTCTAGAAGCTGCTCCCATGTTGGGGATGATCAGGGTGGCAGTGCCCTGCCAGGGGCTTTCTTGCCTGGGGGTCCTTGTCAAGTCTGTCTTTGGCATGAAAAGTTCACAAGGGATTTGTGCGCCTCTGTGTTCCTGCCCCTGTGGCACCCTTCCATCAACGTGTTGGGTGAACCATACTGCCCTGCCTCCTCTCAGGTTTGCTCGTTTAACCAGGAGTGAGAGGATTGGAAGGTTGTGTCGAAGAGGGGATCCCAGGCCTGAGGCCCAGGGTCAGGGAGGGAGGCTTGTCTTGGGGTGGGGATAGGATTTGGGAATGAAGCACCCTGCCCTTGAGAAACGTCTGCCCCTCCCGGACCCTTGGGAGACCACCTTTCCTTTCAACGTTATTTTTATACCGACAAGTAAATAAAGCACGGACTATTTTTTTAACACAAAGCTCTGGCTTTCACGCGTGTCTGTGGGAGGGTCTGGCTCCCTGCTCAGCCAGCTAACTCCTAGCAGGAAGGAGTGATTGGGAGCTCCCCACATTGTGCTGCATGTACTGCTGGACTCGGGCGGGGTGGAGCAGGGCAGCGGGGATCCTATCCCATATCCGGAGCTGTGCCAGGGGCTGGGTGAGGCTGCAGGCCCTCCTTGGCTTTGAAGGAAGCGCCTTGTTGGCGAGGTGAGTTTTTACCTTTGGCCAGGGAGCAGGAAGGCAGCTGGGCAGGAGAACGGAGAAGCTGTGAGCTTCCTCCCCATCCTTTGGAAAGGTCTCGCAGTAACCCCCAAATGATCCCTCATCTGAACTGGCCCCTGGAGTTGGAAGCAGGCACTGAACCTAGCGCTCGAGCTTGGTACAGATTGCTGCTTTGCTCTTCTGGTCATGTGTCTGAACTAGCACGAAGCACCCTTGTGATTGATAACAGGCGGGCTGTGACCCTGGGTCAGTCCTGCGCCCAGCACTGCTCTGCTCAATGCCTGCACTAACCCGGCTGCTAGCCGCAGAACCCCAGTCCTCGTGTGAAAAAGCTGCGGGTCTTCCAGCTCGTGCAGAACACCCCACAGTGCATCTCCCTGTCCTGGAGCAATGGCATTGTGCTTTGCTCATGTGCCAATGAGCCCACTGCTGGCAAAGCCAGACCCTTCCCCCAGTACAAACCC